TTCCTTCCTTCCTTCCTTCCTTCCTTCCTTCCTTCCTTCCTTTCTTTCTTTCTTTCTTTCTTTCTTTCTTTCTTTCTTTCTTTCTTCCTTTCTGTACCTGTCCTGGAACTTGCTCTGTAAACCAGGCTAGCCTCTACAGAGATCCACCTGACTCTGCCTCCCAAGTGCTGAGATTAAAGATGTGCACCACCATTTCCATATTGCATCATAATTGACTCTCATAGGATAACACACATGTGCCACTGTGCTTAGCTAGTGTGACATATTTGAGTAGCCACCCACTCCAGTTTCAGGTTACAGACATGCATATTTGACTTGAGATACTTTCTACTTATGATGGCTGTTTCAAAACATACCCTCATCAAGAGTCAAGGAGCAGAGATGCTCACCTCTGTTCACCCTCGGAGTGTGGCTGTCCCTGGGAGGGCAGTTTAAGTCCCATGAACAAGGCAGAATAGCTTTTCCAAAGTTTGAGGAAAGCAAAGAAAAACAGAGCATGACAGCTGGACGTTAGCTTAGACATACAGGATGGAAAGGCCAGCGAGACCTCCACAAGGACCCGGGAAGAAACTCACACTGCAACTCTTGCAGATGAACTCACACAGTGTTTGGGACTTGTTTCAAAACAATACAAGAAGGATAGAAGGGAATGGACAAGGATAAAATAAGATATGAATTAATTTCTAAATTTATTGTTATTGTTGTTATTTTATTTTTTATGGATATAGGTGTTTTCTTTGCAGATATTGTCTGCACTGTGTGCACAGAGGCCAGAGAAGGGCGTCAGATTCCTTAGACTTGAAGTTACAATTGTTAGCATTCTGTCTAAACTCCACCCCCACAGTAAGTGGCAACAGCCAGGTATGCTCCTCCCCACAGTTACCTGGCAACAGCCAGGTAGGCGTGCCCACTATAAAAGGGGCTGCTTGCCCGCTCTCTTGCTCTCTTGCTCTCTTGCTCTCTTGCTCTCTTGCTCTCTTGCTCTCTTGCTCTCTTGCTCTCTTGCTCTCTTGCTCTCTTGCTCTCTTGCTCTTGCTTTTCCTTGTTCCCTCACCCTTTACCCCTTCCCTTCCCCCAATCTGCATGCTCATGGCCGGCCTCTACTCCTCTACTTCTCTACTCCTCTCTCTCTCTCTCTCTCTCTCTCTCTCTCTCTCTCTCTCTCTCTCTCTCTCTCCCACTATTAACCTCTTAACTACCCCCCCAATACCCTAAATAAACTCTATTCTATACTATATCGGTGTATGGCTGGCCCCTCAGGGGGAAGAGATGCCTTACCATGGGCCCACTGAGACATCCCCTTCCCCCATACGTCTCCGCATACTCACAGAACATATTCTTTCTCTTTTTATTTATCTTTTTATAAACACATCAACAACTGTCATGAGCCTCCGATGGGTACTGGGAATGGAACCTGGGTCCTCTAGAAGAGCAGCCAGTGTTTCTAAACACTGAACTGTCTCTCCAAGCCTGAATTGATGGTTTTCTTTCCTTTCCTTTTTTAAAGCCCGGAGAAGGATATATAAGCAGTCACATAACTCTTCCGCCTATTTATATATGTTTAGCCCTTCAATAGTAATAAGATTGCATTATGTGCACTGGAGATTTTTGCTGGATGTAATAATAGGATCTAAGTTTACACTCCTATGTAAAACAATAATCCAGACCAAATGTATGATGTAAGATACTGGACTTTGGATGATAAAAGACAGTTTTTCCCAAGGAATAGGAAGAAACAACACAGACACACACACACACACACACACACACACACACTGGGGAGGGAGGGTAGGGGTGGGTTGGGAGTGGAGATTAAGCCCTATGATTCCTCCTATGATTTCTAACATTTTCAGGCTGTGGAACAAGAAGGAAGAATCCAGACAGAGGTGGCAGGCTCTGAGAAGACTGAGCTGGGAACTCTACAGCAGAGACATGAGTACTGCATATGGAGAGATTACCACTGTCCTTTGTTCTTTAGAATTCTGATCAGGCCAAACAAACAAACCAAACCAAACAAACCAACAAACAAAACCCAATGGATGCTCATTCTCTCTAATATTTGCATATAACCTACATACCTCCTCCTGAACACTTTTGAGTATCTTACACTTTAAAAAGGTTACATTTATTTAGTTACTTAGTTTTTTTGTGAAGGGAGCATACACATACCATGATGCACATGGAGAGGTCAGAAGACAGCACAGCATTCAGGGGTCAGTTCTCTCCTTTACCATGTAGCTCACTGGGATCAAACTCAGATAGTGAGGTTTGGCAGCCAGAGCCTTCACCCTCTGATCCATCTGGCCTGGCTTAGAGGTCTTTAATCTCTAGTATGTTGTAAATTCTATGTAAATAGTTGTTATACTGCCTTGTTGAGAGAGTAAAGAACTCAGGGCTGTGGTTCTGTAGAGTGCCTGCTTTGCATATTTACTTTGTTTCATTTCCTGGCATTGAAGGAAATTTCTATCAGAATATCTGTATCTAATTTTGTGAGACTTTTTTCCACAAATGAAGGTTGGGTTTACAATTTTCTTCCATGTCTAATGAGACAATCACATGCTATTTTCCCCTTATGTTATTAATATGATTTAATAAACTTTTATAGACTAATTGAGATTAAAGTCCAAACTTTTTTTTGGTAAAATATATGCAAGATAAAGATACCATTTTAGCTGTTCAGTAACATCAACGGCATTCATGATTTTGTACAGCCACGGCCACTGTTCATCTGCAGAATCTTCTCCTCTTTCCCAGATGAAATTCTGATCTTGTATTTCTCCAGCCCATCACCATTTTCTTGTCCGACTCTCTGAGTCTGTCTATTCTAGGAACCATGGAGTTACACAGTATTTATTCTTTGCAGAATTGAAGGCTTCTTTTGTACTCTGCAGAACATCTTCACAGATCACCCGTACTGTAGCAAGTATCAAAGTTCCCTTCCTTCTAAAGAGTGAATCGTATTCTGTTGTACCGATATACCTCATGTTGTTTATCCATGCATCTGTTTTTTTGTTTGGTTTGATTTTGGTTTTTTGAGACAGGGTTTCTTCCTGTAGCCCTGGCTGTTCTTGAACTCACTCTTTATATCAGTCTGGTCTCGAACTCATAGAGATCCACCAGCCTCTGCCTCCCAAGTGCTGGGATTAAAGGCATGCACCACCACCTCCTGTATCTATGTATCTGTTGGTGGACATTTTTCTTCTTTCTATCTTTGGCTTTTGTGAATGCCAATGCTATAGACATTTGTGTATATGTTTTTATTTAATTGCTTTTATTTTAAACTTTATCTTTAAAAATTTATACACACACACACACAAATCATACACCAAAAATGAAGCAGGCTCAAAGACTATACAATTCAATGAACTTCTGCAAAGTTAAAATAGCCATTCAGAGTGGAAGCTGTTTAGTTTTTGAAATAGGGTTCTACTGTGTAGCCCAGGCTAGCTTGCAGTTCATGCTCCTCCCACCTCTGTGTCCAGAAGTGCTGGGATTACCGAACCACACCACCACACCCATCTCCTAACACTGTTGGTGCCTGACTTCTAGGTTATCTGGTACAAGTGGGTGTGAAGTGTTTGCTCCGTCTGGTGTTGACTTCTGTTTCTCTAATGACGGATGATGCTAGGCCTCTTTTGCTTAATGGCCATTTGCACAGATTGAGAGAAAAATGAATTCAAGTTCTTTGTTCGGTGTAAAACTGGGCTTTTTGTCCTCTTATTGTGGAGTTGTAAGAGTTCTTTACATATTCAGGATTCATATCCTTTTTCATTTAGCCTGACAATCAGTGGACTTATTTTGTGGGATTTTTGTTTGTTTTGCTTATTTTGGTTTTGTTTTGAGACAGGGTCTCACATAACCCAGATTGACTGAACACTCACTAAGTAGCTGAGGCTGGTCTCGAACTTTTGATCTTCTTGCTTCCACATCTGGTGCTGGGATTATAGGCATATACCACCAACCTGGTTTATTTCGTTCTGGGAATTGAACCTAGGGCTTTGTACATGCTAGGCAGTAACTCTACCAACTGAGCCACATCTGCAATCCAATTTCTATGTTTTGAGTAGAATATTTGAATCTGTTTACAATTAGTGAACTAGGCATCATTTGAAGAAAGAAAGAAAGAAAGAAAGAAAGAAAGAAAGAAAGAAAGAAAGAAAGAAAAGGAAGGAAAGAAAAGAAGAAAGAAAGAAAGAAAGAAAGAAAGAAAGAAAGAAAGAAAGAAAGAAAGGAAGGAAGGAAGAAAGGAAGGTGAACACAGAGCTAACTTGAAGACTTTCTGGATTTGGAAAATACATTCAGTAAGCCACAGACAGATCCATCAGCAAAATGTAGAACCCACATCAAGTCAAGGATTTAAGTACATCATCCAACCGAGCATTGTCTCAGGGCCGAGCTTTGCTGTGCCAGTGCCACCTTGTAGAATGTGAGGCCTAGTAGGCAAATGTAATTGTTGATCTAAGACATCAGTCCCACACTGCAGGAAAAAAAAACCCATAAAAAACATGATACACAGAATTAATCCATGAAAGTCATAAAACCCATAGCAATAATTCCCATATCTGATGTAAGGGCTCATTGAGATCCAGAATTTCTGTAAGTATGATGAGAAATACTGAATTAAAATA